ATTAGCAATGGTGAAAATTTAAAAAAATCTTTATAGCTCCATCGTGTGGCAACATTGTATATTTTCTCATGGTCCCCAAACGATAGTATAAGCTAAAGAAATGTTTGTCGTATCCATTTTCCCTGTTACAATTATATTTTATTTAAGTGATTATAGCTTTAGAACACTTATTTCTTTGTATCATCCAATTTCTTATATTGTCCATAATACACATATATAACTGCCATACAATATTTTAAGTGGATCACTTTTACCATTTGAAAGTCACTTTGTACTCTTTTTAAAATTATTTTAAACATTATGCAGGACAGTATCACTAGAAATAAAACAAAAACACTTTGCAGAAAATATGCCTGTGCATTTTTCCAGTACTTCAGTGTCTCTAATCTAAACCCCACTTCCAGATCAAAATAAAAGCAGGATCTGAAGGCAACCATAGATGAGTGTTGTTGAAACTGTCTAGGATGCTTCCTTACAGCTGAGAAGAGATTCTTTCACAAATATTCTTTACAAAAAAGCAAGATGGAATTGAAGGCTTCTTCTTTTGTATCTTTTCTAAATGTTTTGTATAAAATAAATAAGGCCATATTTATTTCATAAGTATATTTTTATATAAAAAACACTGGGTAATTCTGATTAATTTAGATAAATGAAAATGTATCTGATTGCAAAAAGTGGATCAATGATTTGATTTATTTCAGATTTTTATGTTACCAAGCTGTCATATTACCACTGGATTTATTGAAATAACTTGGAAGTCAGTGCTTTCCTGGTCAATTAAATATTCTACCTCAAATGTGTTAATATACAACTTGTAGCAACAGATAAAAGTAAAGGGGTAATGAAAAATACAGGCTCTATAATGTTGTACAAGGCTTCAAACTACCTATAGAAGCAGCATAGAATGCTTCAGGTTGCCCTGCTGTTGCCCCTGTGTGTAAAACAAAAGTAAGCCTTAAGATTCAATGAAGGTCAGCTGTGAAGAATGGGTCATTCAGCTGCTTAAAGTTCCATTTACAAATGACAAAGCAACACGGGACTTGTACAAAGGTACAATGTCATGAAGAGACTGCATACTGTATGTTTGGTCAACATTCCTTTCTGCTTGATTAATTTCAATATCTTTTCAGAAAATGGGCAGAATCCTCCTCTGTAAGTGTTTTGTGACATTGTGAAGAAGTTCCTTAGAATCCCAGAAGATGGCTGTAATGATTTTGTCTGCTGAAGGCTGAATTCACAACATCCTGTGTGGTGGAGACTTCCCGGAGTTAATCCTTGTCTTATTGCCAGATGTGCAGTAATGTGAGTGGATATGTGTCAAAATTTGTACGTATACCACTGGTACCGATCTAGATTACTGATATCTTTGAAAGCCCAGTTTGAAGAAACCTTTGAAGAGATTTTTAGTTGATCACAGAAACACTCAATGGGAAGTTCTGCTCCTGTCTCATTTACCTCATCATGTGGACAACTACCTGCTTTAGTTGTGCCCTACTGACTGCTTTTGTCAGGTACAGTATGTGCAACGCTGTCATTATAAACACACACCATTCTTCCAATCAAGAAGTGAAACATGAAACATTTCTTTGTAGAAATTTCACCAGAGGCAAAGTGGTACATTGGCCCAGAGCCCATCCTGGTTTCTGGAGAATTAAGGTAACTAGAAAATGTAACTTCCTCCAGGGCAGGCTCTGGTCCATTTCAGGGATTACACCCCAGCAATGCTTATCCCTACTCATTCAGCTTGGTGTAAGGGAGCTACTAGGGTAAAGTATAGTACCTCTCTCAAGGGTAAAACAGCATTGTCTCCAGCAGAGGCTTGAACCCACAACCTGTCATACTGTATATGAGCCTAAAGGCTTATCAAATACTCTGTGCCATCCCTTGTTTTCATTGTAAAGTTGTGAAAAAATAAGCTTTCAAATGAGCCCTGAACCAAGATGTTGATTAATTTAAATATTTATCTATGAATGTATTGATGTACGGTAGTAAAAATAAGCATCTCCTTAGGCTATCACTTTCATGTGTTAAATTTTAATGAGGTGAAAATGATAAATGCAGTCCATTTAGATTTATTATTATGCCCAGTACAAAGCCTCTAGCTGTTTTTTTTATCTCCAATTAGACAAACAGCAGATTGAGAAAAAAGACAGTTTTTTTTTACATCCACGTTTTATACACAAGGACAATTTACATGTCTTTAAAAATCGAAACATTTGTTTAAGGATCCTTCATTTAATGGTGGAAAAAAACTGGTTGATGTCAGTTTTTTTTAGAAAAACCTTTCTTAAAAACATATGTTTAGTGGTAAAAACATTTTATGTTTATGTAAGATGCATCAACAACTACAGGAAGAAATCTTTATAAAAGCTTAAAGAAATACAGTAACTTGTACTTGGTTTGCATTATATATTTATTACAGCTTCAAAGTTGTTTCCTAAAATTTACCACAATTTTAGGAAAAATTTGGTAAATAAAGAAAACACAACGTTTTGGCCGTTTCGGGTGTGAAGAAGGCTCCATGGCCTTTTTATTGGTTCCTTTGCAGCCTACGCATGCTGACACAGCAACCCACCTGAATTACTTTAAAGAAACTTGTCAATCACATTTCTGCATGAATGTTTAAAGAAAAATTAAGTCTCATTTAAAATAGTATTTAAAAGTGTTTGGATTGATCAAAGGGAAGAATGGACTGAACTCCACAAGACTGCATGTGTTACATGTTTTAAAGCAAGTATTGAAAGCAGATGTATTGCTTTCAACAGCAGCCATACATGTTGCTGGTCTGTTCTTCATCCTTTATGATGACAAATATTAACCAGCATAAAGAATTCACCTGTTCAATGAAATGTCAGTGCACTTTCTACAAAACAGCTTTTCTTATTTTCGCGATAACTTTGTCAAGTTGTTGCAGTTATAAGTGATATGCTTTTCTGTAGCATGGCTCTGTATATTAGTTCAATATGTTTCTGTATGCTGTGACTTGGAAACTCAAGTTGCAATTACAACTCAATAAATGTAAGCAAAAGTTTAAATACGCAAGCAGATGAGTAAAAGTCATCAGCTGATACTGGAGATTTATATACTATATACTATACTTAAGAGTTGCCATTCTTCGAATGTTAGACAGAGATCCTGAATACTTGATCATTAAATTTCCATGGCAATATTTTTAAAAGTAGTTTGATTATTGTAAGTGAAAATGCCTAACACTGTAGAAAGAACGATACTTATTGTAGTGTATAATGAGAATAAGGTACGTATGAGTTCAGTTTCCAAATTTTATGTCATGATTTCCCATCTCTTTTCAACTTCAGTAGGAACTGCAGTGATTTATTATGTAACCTAAAATATTTTCTCTTCTAGCTTTGTGGGTATGAAAAGGCTTCAACTGTGTAGGGAATTAGATTGTATTCAATTTTTAAAGAAAACTTGTATATCTCCAGGCATTGGGTTTCAAAGGTAGTACTGTTCTTTTTTTTGCTATTCCAATACCGCATCTCAAAAAGTTGAATTAATACGTGCAGCCTGTTATGTTAGAGCTCGGGAAATCTGACGCTAAAATCCTCACAAATTCCTTTTGAACCGTCAAGCTGTACTTCGACCACATAATTTCTATGTTCGCGACCATTTTACAGACAACAAGATTAATCTAAAAAATAGGCAATTTAGCACTTATTGACTTTGTTGCTTCTGGTTTACTATTTTTTTTCTGTTACTGTTGATAATAGTACTCCAACGTTAAACTTAAAAAAAATATTTCAGTGTTTCCGGACATGTTGTCATAAGCTATTTCAGTACGGCTTCAAAACAGTGTACAAATAACTCGTTGATGGCACAGTGGCTACATTGAAATGCGCTCGTGTGCTTTGCTCTCTGCAGTGGTTTTATTTCTTCTTATGCTTTCACAGCCGACGGGACAGCCCCAAAACAGCTGTATGTAAAATGCACGATACTGCGTAAAATTTCTACGGAGCATGCAGCTACTGCTGTTCCCCCCGGCTAGCCTGCAACGCGCTGGGAGGAATTTGGAAACTGAGAGTCTCTGCCTCCTCACCGCGCCTGCGCGTTCACAGGCTGGAGGCACAGACAATATGGCGTAGCGTGGAAGGGGGAACCCACTGTATTTTGGGAAGAAACAGAGGGAGACACAAAGAAAGAAGTTTCGGCAGGTTTTCTAAGAATAAGAGCAATTAAATAATAAAGGAATGGGCGTCGAAAACTAAAAAAAAAGTTTTATCGAGACGATTTTTTCGGAGGGAGCTTTTTGAACTACGGAGAAGGGTTTGATGTTGGTTCAGGTAAGAAATGTTTTGTTTGCTACAACTGCAGTCTAACAAAAGTTGCAAAATACTTGGAAAACACCAGTGTTACTTTGGGAACGACTAATTAACGAGGTGTAATTTAGCTGGGGTGAAGGCAACTAACCCAATCAACTGATCATTTATTTTACTAATGTTACCTTTTTAAAAAAGTTACCTGCTGTAGCTTCTGCTGTCCTTCTACGGAAAGATAACATGTTGCGTTTATGTTGAAGTTTTGGGTACTAGTACTACTACAGAGTAGCTTTCTGTACTGTTCCTGTACAGAAATCCTTTCGCTTGGTTAACTTTTGCTTGTTTGTGTTGGGAATTAAAAGTCCACTTAACGTAAGACTGTGGTGAGGTAATTAATATCAAGATTTGAGAACTCTTATGTGCTGGATCACTAACGCAATTTCAGAGCCAGTTGGATTAAGTAAAGATATACCTTCAAACTAGTCTAAAGAATGTCCCGTTGTGGGTCGTGAGAGGCGAATGTGACCAGGCAGAATACTTGAAGTAACAAAAGAGCGAAGCACAAAGGTCACTTATCTGTTGCAAATCACTGCTTGTTACCGGTGCTCAGACTGACACTGAATTTTAAACGCAACCATACGTTTGTGAGTCTAGATTTAAAGTTTAAAGAAAGTTTTAGATTCTGTGATTCTAGTACTACGAAGATGCAGTCTCTGATAGTGACGCGTTGCCTGCGACCTTACTTACGAATAAATCTTTCAAAACAGTTTGAAAATTCAGTACCAAATAAGCGACCACTTCGAAGAGTGGTTTTGTGCGATGAAAAGATGGGGCCAGCCTTTTCCTTAGACGATAAAAAACCGAGATCCCGTTTGTGGGACACCAGAGCAAGACATTAAAATTCCGTAACCTTTGTGTAAAGAAAATATTTTGCAATGGAAATGACAAACATTCAAACGCAGTAATATAAGAATTTTGAATTGAACAAAACTAAAAAAGGGAGACGATATTTTATTTGTTTTCCGAAGTGTGTTCGTCGGTGTATGCCCATAAGTCAAGCATGTATATATAGAATTATTTTCTCCAATGAGTGTTGCAGATCTTCGCGATTATATTTCTATTCCAAATTGTCTTAATTTTTTAGTTTTGTTACAATATCAATATTAACAGTAGCTAATGTCAACGAGCATCCAGTTTGCAATGTCTTAACTGGCTTCTGGCAGGAATTTTGTGTTCTGCATGGAAAGTATTGCGGTTTGTGTGAGGGGGAAAAACCGATGAGCAAAAGTTTTCACGAAATAGCATCTGTTATTAAAATTTTCATCACTATCATGAGGCGCTTCAAGTCTTTATAAGTGTAACTCGATTATTCCTTTTTATCATATTAGATCATTTTGAAGAAAAATCTGAATAAAATCTATGTTGACACTTATTTAGCATTAAACACTTAGACTGTGAAAAGACTGAGTTGTGTTTTACAATTGAAAATAACATGTTGAAATGTTTTCTTTTAGGTCCATTAAAAACGGTTACTTAGTAAGTAAAGTGGAACACATTTTAATTGACCAGAATAAGTCTTTAGATAATCAATGTATACATGATTTAACTATGCACAAAAAATGACTTCAGAAAAACACAAGTATATACTGTATTTTGTGGGGATTAAAAAAAATTAATTACATACTTGTACCTCAGCATAAATTAAACTATCACATTTTAATAATTTGTACAAATAGTTTTAGCTTTTTACTTGCATTTCCATATTCTACCGTGAGTTTGTGAGGTTTTTTAAGTGTTGTGTACTTTGTGGATTCTGATATCAGTTTGGTTAATGGCAGATCAATTCTCAGTCCTGATTTTATAAGACCTCTATGTCTGCTGTTTTTTTTGTTCCAGCTGGGTCCTTACACTCATCAGTGTTGTGATTGTTCAGACTTGCTTTTATAAATTCCCTCTTAAACTTGCAAATTGTTAATTTTGATTAAACAGCTGTTAATAGGTGATCTGTTAATAATGAACAGACACAAGTGGGCATGACACTTCATCAGGCATTTCCCGCTGACTCGGTTTTTCCTTCTGCTTGAGCAGGAAATTGGTTAGATTTCAGATACTGTACCTGTCCTGAACCTCATTTATTAGTGTGGGGTTAATACCAATTCAGCTTTTCAAGATCTGAAAGCAAATAAAAAAAGGCTTCAAATAAATTGTTTTTTTTTTAAGAATGTCTGATTGTAGAAAAAATGCCTATACAAGCAAGTAGATCATCTACTGACAGCAATTAGTACTTGTGATTAGGGGACCAGTTAGAAAACCCCCAGCAGAAGCTGATGTGCTCCAATATCAGGATTGAGAACCACTGGTTTAGAGGAATGAAAGTGTTTTTATATGTGTATAGAAACATCAAACTGCAGTACCTATTCAAACAGCAATTTGTTTTCAGTTTATATTGGAGTGGTCAGAATTAGTCTACGGAGGTCAGTTTTTTCAGGCTTTATGAGAAATGTGCTGTATTCCAGATGTTTTGTAAATTACTGAGAAATAACACCATTTAGAAGATATTTTGTGAACAATGTGAATATTGTAGAATATGATGATTCAGATGATTACAGTGATAGGATTAAGATCTCTCTTGTCTGGTTATATATTTTTTGCTTTATTTTCTTAATATGGTTCAAAACTCAAAATCTTCTCAAGTCTTTTAATATTCAAGCTTAATTGGACCAATTCAGCATCATTTAAAGGCCTTCAGAAGATGACATGCTTTGAAATCCTACTGGTTGCTGGTCTTCCTAGACTGGATCGGGGCATCTAATGCTTCATGATTTGAAAAGGCAGAATTAGATGTTTAGATAACATAACCTCCCTGTCTCCAGGACAACATTAATCTTACATTGAATGTATTCTTGTGATCTAAAGTGAATGAGTTAACTTCTAAAAAATTCTAGTTTTCTCTGGTGTGCTGGGAGGACTGTTGTCGATCTAGAAGCAACAGTTTATTTAGAGTCTGTGCCACCTGAAGCCTTTTCTGCACTCTTGTGGAGAGGCGTGCTTGTACCGTAAGGACCAGTAATAGTTGAGCTCACTAACAAAAAGAAAGTGAAGCAAAGTGATGTGTTTTCTAATGTAGAGTAGCAACACTGTCACTGCCTGAATACTCACTACTTGCTCAGTATTGGCTGAAAAAAACTTGATTTCTACCTCCATAAACATCTTTGTGGAGAGTTGAAACTTGCAGTGGCTTTAGAAATTGAATCTTGTTTTTATCAAGAGTTGTCTTTATATTTACTTGCTTAGACATGTTTCATTGGCATTTCATACTTCAAAATTAGAATACTATTGGAAAAGCCTTCTGTGTTTGATATTTCCTTTAAACAACATTGGTATGAAGTACCAAAGTGAATGTAGCATGCCTTACATAACACTTGATTAAAGATATATTATCCTTCTTTCCTTAGTAATTTATATTTCGGCTTAATTGCAAGCGTGCAATAGTAATGAAGGGTTAGGGTTTTGGAAACTGAGTATTAAAATGGGACTAAAGTGTAATTAAAGCATCAAATGTTGTAGGAAAGCTAATGATCTGTTGTGTACAGAGAACTTAGTTATTAAAAGTGGCTATCATTTATATGAAGGTGCTCTATAGAAACAGGCATGATGCAAGAGGCTTTGGCAAGGGCCTTTCTTGCAATACAAAGCAGTTGAGTTTGTGATTAATTCTGTGATTTGACCTTTAGTTATATATTTGTCCTTCATTAAAACAGAGAGAATTTAAGAGAGATCTACGTACTGAAATGAAAACACTGACCCTATTAGATATTTATACACTTCATTTTGCAGTAGTACAGTGTTTATCCAGGGTATGTCACTTACTCAGAATCTGATACTAAAATACTAAAAGCTTTCATGACCTTTTACACCTCTCTCTGTGTTTTAGACTCCTTTGTTTGGATGGGCCAATTCAAAAAAGCCATTTAAACTAGTAGCACATCTTTGAAAGAAAACATGGGGAGAATTGAATTTTGACCACTGTGCCACCTTGCCACCCCTACACTTGCTGCTCTAAGGTTCATTTCACAATGTTGTAGTACTTGTTCTGTTGTCATTTGGTCTTCATTTCATCGGGTCTTGTAAGATTTTATTTTAAATTTCACAATTTAAGCTTTTATGGGAATGATTTGAGTTATAGTCATTGCCCCTCATATTTAAAGCTGTAAAGCCTGTTACATTTCATTGTAAGGATATTTTAAAGGGCTTTCATATCCATGGAAAACTACCATGTTGTTAAATAATTTCAAGGTCTCCTTTGTTTTAGACAGCATGTAGTGTAAGTTTTAGGGTTTTTGATTTGGATGAGGCTAATTACTAAATCCCCTTGTTCATGTTCTGCAGCATCAGTGAAATTTATACTTAGTCACTGCAGATTTGCCTTTTAGGAGAAATATTAACTATAATGTGGGGCATTTGACTGTGCGCCAATGTAAGAGCAGCAAATACAGAAGTGCTGCATAGCACAGTAACAGTGGCCACTGTGGGATCCTGTTTCATTTAAGTACTTTGTATTGTGGTTTAAATTAGTCAGCTGCTTGAAACAATTTATTGTATGGATGGTGCACTTGCAAATACTGGGTTGAAGTAGCAGCAATTTATTACATAAACTAGGAAGGGGGATTCTTCATTTGATTTCCTGTACACATTTAGGAATGTTTGACTGAGTAGCCTGTGTGTACAGTACTACAGTAAGAATCAGACAGATTTGTCTCTCATTTTAAAATTTCTTCAGCCTCTTGTTCTTGACAGGTTTTTATTCAAATGTCAGGTTTAAATATGTTCAGTATGATTTTATATTTAAATGTAATATCTTAAGTGATTGTCAATTAGAAGGTAAACTTACTGCATAACAATATTACAATTCATATTACAAATTCAATTGAATTAAAATGTCTTAAGTTTTATTTAATGTATAAGCTGCTTTGTACCTGGCCCTTTTTAAATGGTTTATTATCTGTTCATAATTGGTATTATCG